TTACGGCTGTTTACAGCAATTTGCAGGCAACAATGAAAACTGCTGTAAATTGTCAGAAATTGACGTGGGCCTCCCTTGGCAGTTGTCCCCCCATGACCCTCCTCCTCCTAATTCTGGGGGAGGCTTTGACATGTAAATGAAAATGCTGTGAGCTATACAAATGCAAATCAGGGTCGCAGAGGGAGTTTTAGCCCAGGTGACATTTTTTTAAAAGGTAAGAAAATCTCTGGTACAAATAGATCAGGCTCAGTAGCCTAATTATAGACTCTTACATTTTAGCTTGAATTGATTTATTTAATTCAAATATGCTAGATTACTGTGTACGCCATTAGCAATGGCAAATGTTATGTAAAAAACATACACAAAATAACTTCTTTAAAAAATTAGTTTTAATCAAGGTAAAATGAGCATTCCATGCAAACAACATTTGAATCAGAATGAGGGGTCTGCAGAGATCAGTCTCCTAGAGCTCAACTACAGTGCACAGTGGCAGGACTACAGTGACCTTTTCTTTGGTCTTGCTTACAGAGGATGTATTAACCACACATCTTCTAGCAATGCGCTCAACTGGCAGAAATTATGCTGGGTATGACGTGTCTGTTCCCTGCAAGCCCCAAACTTCTATTGGCTTTCCATAAAAATGTCTGTCCGGGTGGAGATGAAGCCAGGAAACTTGTGCAAGAACATGTTTAAATGCCGTACCCTTTGACACAACATTAACAACTATAAACTGCTTTATAATGGCTGGTCGTAGTTCTGCTAGAGGGTCAAGGACGGGTTCCTCAAAACTGTTAGTGTTTCCACACCACTTAGCATGAACATATGCTGACCTTTCTGCTCTGCATCTATCGATTGAGTAAGTTACATTCATATATGTTACCCGTTTACATGTCATGGCAAAACATTCAACCTCAGTGACACAAGGGTACATCTGATGATACATTGTCAACATTGCGTGTATGTCAGACTCAAGAGTGTCTGGTGGAATGGAGAAAGAGGCACCACTGTACAGATTTCTCGGGAAAGTCGTTCTGCTGACACCAAAACACTGCTTTACATAAAGCATATCAGCTGTTTCAAAGTCCCAACCATTTGTCTTCCTAAAATACTGGTCCTTCCGTATAACAATAACCCCGTGTGTGATTGGAGGACCCTTAGACTCCTCGTTCAATCACGTGTGAGGTTATAGGCATGACTTAGACAGCAGTACTTGCAAGACGAGCATACAAACAGTGTGTTACTATATTCAGAAGAACTGTATCTCCAGTTCCTTTGTTTGGTTTTTGCTGGTACGTGAATAATGGCTGGACGACTTCTCGCGTTCAACTCGCCTTCAACTCCTCTCCGCGGTCAGCAACTTTCGGCCGGTCCGCAGACAGACGAGAAGAAACTGCTGAATGCTCTCAGTGGATTGTCTCGTCAACTCCAACAATAAACTGCCGATATCAACGAGCGGTTCGCTCCACTGGAGCATTCGGGACTCTCCAGGTTGCTGTCCATAGAGGAGAGGTTGGCGGTTCTGGAGGAACTGACTCAAAGAAGAGGCGACGGGCGCACAATCCCAAGATAGCGGTAAGAATACGTTCGATGACTGCAAGCTAAGCTAAAAGTAGCGTAGCCTCAAACGAAAGCTAAGAGTAGCCTAGTAGCCTTACAAGTGAGCAGAAACAGCTTTATCAAAGTGTATTTCCTTTGCCGTGTCGTTTACAGGAAGCGGTGCGCCGTCTTCACAACTCCGAGACGAATTACAGGCGCTACGAACCGGAGCAAGGGTAAGATTTAAAGAATATGCTTTCATTCTGCGGCATAAGGAAATATATACGTATAGGTACCATAGGATGGATACCGATCATAACTGTACATTTTGTTTTCAGACTAATCTCGCCTCATAATGAGGCGGTGACCTCGTATTTGCTCCGGAAAATAGTCCAGATTTAGACGTCATTGTGTGTAAGTGACACTGTTTACTGTTTCTCCTTCCTTGGTCAATGTTACTGTGACTTGCGTTTGATTTTTTATTCATACCACACTCATTTCATTGTTTTCCAGCCGCATGTAAGACGTATTTTGAGACGGTACGCAGGAGCTTCAGGTTTTCCCATCCGGAACACTCATTGCGGGCGGAAGCTGAAGTCGAGCGAGAAGAAAGAGGGTCAGAGTTTATTTGCTGACTTTTTTCAGGTGCATTGATCGATGTGTTGTGTCCATTCGCATCGCATTGCACGGTACTGATTCATTGTTGGTTTTACAGCTGCTGGAATCGAGACAAAGTGTGCTGGCTGATGACGAGGTGGAACTCTGGAAATCCGCCACCGGAGAGCTCACGTCGGACGGAGAGGATGGCGTTGTTGGGGTGGATTGTACGGTCGCCGCCATTAGAGGCGACTCAGAAATACAGAGCCACGCACATTAGGCGCCTGCACAACAGACCTGCCTCGGAAAACACGGCGCCAGTGACGGTCTACAACCCCGAGGAGGCAAACGGACAGTTTACTGAGCTGTAGTTTTTTAAACCGCCTTTACCCAAGTGTGGGCAGATCCTCACTTTGTATGTAGTTGTTGTTTGTATGTTGTTAATAAAGCTCTTTCTTTGCATAAACATGTTCCTGGCAAATGTTCATTTTCTCTATAAATTCATTGATGTCCTGGTTGGTATCCTAATAATAGTGTAGTAGCCTACATAGGATAACAATGAAATGAATATACAGCATAATATGAATATATAAATAAAATGAGGCGGGTGACCAATAGCGATAGATCTGCCAACCAATCCCGAGTGATTGAAAGTTGTGGTTTCAGCCAATCATGAGCAAGGAAACTCAAGCCTGGTCTGCCCAGGTGTGGTTTTGCTGCCAATCACGAGTGATTTTATTTGTTAGAAAGTTGTGGTTACATCCAATAAGGAGTAAGGATATTCAAGCCCACTCGGCTCGGCCACCCGTGGTTTCGCTGCATTAATATGCTAATTAGGGTCATTTGGCGCACCTCCGCCAGCTCTCCGCATACGTCATGGTTCGTTTCCGACAATTTGTGGCACAGACAAACGCGACGTGCGCGGGACCCGCAAATTGTCGGAAACTTAGGAAGTCGGAATTAGGGAGATTTCCGGGCATTTACGGAGACAAAAATCTCACTTTTCATGCAGTGAAGAGAACTTGATTTGGACAGGTTGAAGCAGGATACTGAACAAGCCAAATTACGGTTACAACATCAGCGATTAGAGATGGTGAGAATTTGTTCCTCTTAATTATTGCCTCGTAATAAATTAAGTCTGAGCTCCTTCTGTCCTGAATAGCTCATGCTGATCTCCATCACAATGGCTGGTACCGTACCAGATGATTTGGTGGAGCAGTCTGCTGATCCTACTCTGAAAGAGTTATATGTTTGCACAGGTTTTGACACAACTTTGGATAAAACATAACCAAGCCAGTGCGTAACGTCACTTTTCATCCTCCCCTGGGAGGACGCCAGTTTCTCCTTAGCCATCTCACATGCTGCGTACAATCTGTGTCGGAAACCGCTACCATATTTTAACAAACTTGAAGGGGCCTCCACCACCTTCAAATCCTCCTGTAATACGGCCACAGGACCACGCACCGTGTGACCAAAAACAAAGTCATTAGGACTGAACCCAGTGCTTTCCTGTGATACCTCTCTAGCTGCAAGTACCAACCATGGTAGTCCCTCTTCCCAATCACGGTCCAATTCAGTGCAGTAGGCACGTACCAACCATGGTAGTCCCTCTCCCCAATCACGGTCCAATTCAGTGCAGTAGGCACGTAGCAGTGATTTCAAGGTCTGATGGAAACGCTCCAGAGCGCCGTGACTTGACTTGCGCATGATACGCACTGGCTTGGTTATGTTTTATCCGAAGTTGTTTCAAAACCTGTGCAAACATATGCGACATAAAGTTGGAACCCTGGTCGCTCTCTCTCTCTCTCTCTCTACCAGCACCATTTTGATTCGGTCTTTGTTAGAGTATGCGTTTTGTTTAAGTACACCTCACAACACCTACACTTCTTATATGCATCCATGCATTTCCACTACACCCCTCATATGCCTACTTTCACACTTCACCAGTTTATTTTCCGTTGTATATTCATACTTTGTTAGTTTTTGACTAAAACCATTGTTATTTCTTTAAGTCAACGTGTGGACTCCCTTGTTTGTCACCTTCTATGAGCCGGGTTGTGACAGTACCTACTCACAAGCCACACCTTCAAGCTTACCCTGCTTCATGGAATTTTGCTCAAAATGGGACCATCATTTCCAAAATGGACGAAGTGAGACAATAAACTAATACATCGTTCTATTTGGAACAAGTGGAGTCAGCAGAGTTCCTTTTTTTGAGACCAGGGGGATTGAGACCTGAGTATAATGTAATTTGTTTCTAAAAACTGCTAAAGTTAACATCATTTGTGTTACCGACAACTGATAGGATGCGTCTCATGAATAATATAGTAAAAACTCTGCCTTGGATATGTACGTGCCTTCCACAGTCATTGGGGAATAAGTAAGCACAACAATGAGATTCTCCTCACCCCTCTATAGTGGTACTTTTGACCCAAACACAAAAATATTTTTACGTGAACCACAAAAAATCAAAGCAAAGCCACCACAAGAATAATTAGTAGCAATGCAAATACTGCCCATGCGGTTGGTAGAGAGCTGCAGCATAAAAGCAGACAACGGATGTCGTAACATTAGTAGGACAAACAGATCTGCTGCAGAGCTCCAGCGGTGTCTCAAGCACACAAACACCACGTAAAGCCAGGCATTATACTCATCAACAGCAATTTATGACAAGCAGAGTACTTGCTGTTATTTGTCTGAGTGATGCATCGTTGCTAGAAAAAGTGTAGCAAGCGCTGTGTCTCCGAGCGCATCTTTCCTTGCTTGAAGTGTACCTTTTGCCCGACAGATTTTGATCACAAACCTCCAACAAAACAGGGCGCAAACAAGGACTTTTATTCCTCCACCAATCCATCCAGGGGAAATATTTTGAGAGTGTTTTACAAGCAGCAGGTTTACAGGAGTATTATTCTTGCAGCTGAGTTGGCAGAAAAGCAACACACACCGTGGTCACACCAAACGTGACGCAAATTATTTGCGCGACAAGATTACATGCAAAATGCATGCATAAGGCAACAGGGCAGCAATTTGGATGAAATTACAAAAACTCTATAGAACATTTCCCCTTAACCTTTGAACTAGCCTTTTATAAAGCTTTCCCTGCAGCCTTCTTTCAGATGAGTTTCTGCTCAACTTGACTTCTGATCAAGTCATTCCTGGGGGTCTGCAACTTGGGTGACAGTTTACCACTTTCTAGACCAAGTAGAATCTTTTCAGTGAATTCAAAAGTGTTGGTCAGTGCTTTGGGGTAGCTGAGGTGTAGTGCATAGATTTTTGTGCAAGATTACCAGGAAGGCATCGCCAAGTCGGGGGAGGCTGATCATGGCATCACTTTCAACGATGACAGAGATTCTCACAGGGTTGTAGTGAACTGGACTTGTGTCATGGTCACTGATGATAGTAAGGAGGCCCACTGCAACACTGTCAAGCTCTGGCTCATCAGACTTGTCCTGAATGAATGAAAAAGAGATACTAATCACAAACTAACACATGGAACAGAACAGATTACATATAATGTATCTTCCTCTAACCAAGTCCCATTGACGACCTATGCCCCTTTTACAAGGGAGATCTGGGTCTTATTTCAAGAGGTGAAAAGCATAAGATACATATTCCGCACACACAAATCTGCCAAATTACCAGAGAATCTAAGTGGTGTGAGAGACTGAAACCAAGTTTAAAGGACATTTACAGGAACAGGTTTTACTGAACATCTTATCACTTGCCAATACAGTTCCTTTGTAGTGAGGAGAAAGAAAACAGATCATACACAAACTGTACAAAGAAGTCCTAAAAGATAATAGTATTTTTGATAAACTTTGTTAGTGACTTAAGGAGACTCACTGTGCAGGTTCTGAAAAATCCAGAAGCATCCTCGCACAGATACACAGGAAGGGCGTGGAGAACAGTAGTGCGCTTGGTGTGGATGTCATGGATTTCCTATTCAGATAAAAACAGAATTGTTCCTACTGATTTTAAACAATCCAAACAGAACATATGTCCACAAATAACTTATTCACATTATTAATGCAATCAAACAAATGGCAAACACAAAGTGGACTAATTGCAAAATACACAAAACTCATGAGTCATTGAACCTATGAAGTGTGTAATAATTTATTTACCTGTTCATCGTGGATTTTTAAAATTTCAACTAGAGCATCTGCTGTCTTCCCAGTTTTTGATGCCCTCTGTCTGAATAAGGTCCGTTTTGTGCTTCACGGAGACGTGGCTTTGCGGATCGATACCGGACTCCGCGCTCCAGCTGGCGGGCTTCCAGCTGCTCCGAGCGGACCGCACACGGAGCTCTCCGGCAAGACGAAGGGTGGAGGAATCTGCTTCTACTGCAACAACAGCTGGTGCAACGAAGTAACGGTGACCCTAAAACACTGTTCTCCTGATCTTTCTTCAGCAACTGCAAACCCTTTTATTGCCCCCATTGAGTTTGCTTCATTAATCCTGGTCGGTGTTTACATGCCGCCGGTGGGCAATGTGCACGAGGCACAGCGGACACTCGCCGACCAGATACGCTGTGTGGAGCGGACCAACCCGGACTCTTTAGTTATTGTCCTCGGGGCCTTTATCAAAGGTAATCTCAGACATGAACTTCCTAAATACAGACAGTTTATTAAATGCTCCACCAGAGAGGAGAATACTCTGGATCACTGTTACACCACAGTAAGCAGGGCTTATCACGCCGTCCCTCGCGCTGCACTGGGACACTATGACCACGTCATGGTCCATCTGATTCCTGCATACAGGCAGAAACTAAAGCTCTGAAAACCTGTGGTGAGGGAATTCAAGAAGTGGACCAGTGAGGCGCTGGAAGATCTTCGGGCGTGCTTTGACTGCACAGACTGGAATGTTTTCAAGACTGCTACAGACAGTCTGGATGAGTTCACAGAGGCTGTAACTTCCTACATCGGCTTCTGTGAGGACAGCCGTGTACCATCATGCACCAGGGTGAGGACAAACTCTCCCAGCTGCACGTGCCCGACTCCACCTGCAAGTGGATCACAGACTTCCTGTCTGACAGGAAACAGCACATGAAGCTGGGGAAACATGTCTCAGCCTCTCGAACCATCAGCACCGGTTCCCCCTAACACTGTAAACCCGAACGTCAGTAATTAAATAATTAAGTAGTGTACAGTGATCCCTCGCCACTTCGCGGTTCACTTATCGCGGATTCGCTATTTCGCGGATTTTCATATTGCATTTTTTTTTTTTTTGGTGCATTGTGCTCTGCATTCTGATTCGCTAAAAACTCACTCCCGAGCCGTTCATTACAGTTCTCCAACGTAATCGATGGTGGCATGTCGGTGTACAAGGATCTTTTTGCAAAGAAGAAAAAAGAGCGACAACAGCTGCCTATCACTATGTTCTTCTCCCGAACAAACACACCTGCACCGCGGGCTTCAGAAGAAGAGAACACTGCAGAGCGCAGTCAGGATGCAGCGGCCCAGTCTGAAGAGCAGTGAAACGGCCTACACGCGAGTCACTGTATTTGTATACATGTAATAGTTGCTAATTGTAAAAAAAAAAAAAAATTCTATTTCGCGGATTTCACTTATCGCGGGTCATTTTCGGAACGTAACCCCCGCGATAAACGAGGGATTACTGTATACTCAAATTTTTGAAAAGGTTCTACTAACTTAATTATGTCATGTTGGTGTAACATGTTCTTCTTTTTGAGTAATTTTAACTAATACTTTTTGATTTAATGGAACTATTTAACAATAACTTAAAAATATAACTTAAGTACAACTTAATTGAATTAAGAAATGTCATACTAAGAATGATAAAGTCCTGTTATTTCTATTTTTTCAAATACGGATGATTTAAAAATAAACCTAATTTATATAGCACATGCTAAAATACAATAAAATCTGTAAAATGTGCTTTTACTTGTTTGTTATTTTAGGATATTATTCTGTCAGTATAACAAAGTATTCAAGTTGTCATGATAACACAACATTACTAGTTAGTAACATATTTACGACAAATAAAACGCTAATCTGAAAATTAATTCAATTGAATTAACACGCTAGTAGTGTTTTTTAAGTCAACTTGATTAAGGAAGTAGTCGCGACCGTTATCAAAGTGCATTATGGGGTTGGCGGGCGAAGTTGACTTCCTTTCCGTCCTTGAGCCTTTTCGGACTAGACTTCGGTTAGATCATCGGCTTAGACTGTTTTCAAGGTGAGTGAAATCATAGGTGTTTATATATATAAGTTGATATATGTAATGTGTGAAGTTAAATTATGTTACAATCAGCCAGTTGCCAATCCTCGAAAACGTAAGACAATTTAATTTAAATAATTGTACAGAGGTGGTCGTACGAGTGACATTACTAACGTTAGTTACTTCTGCTCCATTCACTGGGACTTTAGTCTTCTCTGCCTGTGTGGTTCTACTTCAGCGGTTGCTGGTTTGAACTCGCTAACATGTGCGCTAGCGTACGTGCTAACGCACTCTAGCTAACGAACATACTACGCTAACTAACGTTACTTGATTGTGCATCTCGGACCAGCCGAGGAGCACTCGGGATAGTATTCCACTTGCTAGCTAGATTGTTCAACTGAGAAAAGGGCGGCTAACGAACCTACGCTAGCTAACATTACTTGACTGTGCATCTCGGACCAGCCGAGGAGCACGGGGGATAGTATTACACTAGCTAGCTAGCTTGTTCAACTGAGAAAAGGGCGGCTAACAAACCTACGCTAGCTAACATAAGTTAACGGTGCGTGCTTGGAACCGCGATTGTCTTTTCAGTCAAACAATCTAGTTCGCTAGTTAAGTAAAAAAGCGGGCTCCCGTGCTTCTCGGCTGGTCCAGGAGCAGCGCCAGGTGTTTCTGCATGAAGCTTGTTGTGACTCGCAGTTCTGTGGCATTTCTATTATATATTTTTTGCAAGTCATTCTGTTCATTCATTTTGTGTAAAATTGATCATGTTTTGGTAAGCTACTAGTAACTAACTTCTTGTTATATTAAGTATAAGCAATTCCGTTTTTAAAGATTTAGATGGTGGTCTAAACTTTGTCATTTCTTTTCTTTGCCTTTTAAGTTGCTGGTTCCAAAATGATCTGGAAGTGTAAGTTGTGCGCAGCTTCTTTCACCTCCAGAATAGTTATTTAGACACTAGCCTGCAGCACAGCCACTATTCCAGAATCAGCCCTCTTCCATGTCTCTACACTGATTGCATTTGCACCTTTCTGACACTTAATGCACTGAGTACTCATTTGTCAAGATATCACACAGCACAACCTAGCAGTTGTACAGAGCAGAGTCAGGGGCCTGTGTTATTTAAATGCCCTTCATGCACATTTCGGCAACCCTTTTCTAATTCAGCAGTTTTCAGTCTCAGAAAGCATCTGAAAAATCGTGAAAAAGTGACGTGCCCATATAAGGATTGTAGTTATAGCACAAATGTGTACTCCTCGTTCAATTCGCATAAAAGTAGAGCACACCAAGCAGATCTTGCATCTGAGTTTCAAACTGATATTGTCAGTGAGGATCCCCATAGTCTTCAATCCAGTGTTTCTGAGGAAACTAGTGATTTGCATGAAGAATGCCCAGGCCAAAGCAGAGAAGTGGAGAATAGTGATCAGCGTGACACTGGCAGTCTAAGAAATCAACTTAAAAGAAATGTATCTTCCTTATTCCTAAAGATACAGGCTATCCTCCATGTCTCTAACACAGCTACTCAGGAAATAGTAGACCAATTGAATCAGATTTTCTCCTTATCTGAGCCGTTGATCAAAGAGGCAGTTAATGACGTACTGCAAAGAAATGGTCACTGTATTGCAGAATCTACATTGAGTGAAGTTGTTGCCGCTGTCATGGACTGCAATGTTTTCTCTACATCAACCTCTAAAGGTGCCGAGTTGAGTTCATCCAAGCGCAGAAAAACCTTTATTGAGCACAACTATCCTTATGTAATGCCAGTGAAGTATCAGTTGGAGCAACCTGGACACACCAGGATGTATGTTCCTATCCTTTCAATGATTCAAGAGTTGTTTAAAAACACAGACATTCTTAACAAGATTACTGAAACAAATACGGCATCTGGTCAATATGTATCATGCTCCAATGGCTCTCATTTCCTTGAAAATGAGTTGCTGTCAACAGGGGATCGTCCTACCACTCCAGCTATGTACTGATGATCTGTAAATTTGCAATCCGCTTGGCACATCGCGCAAAATTCACAAATTTTGCGCTGTATATTGGGTCCTTGCTAATGTGCCACCAAAATTCAATTTAATAAACTATCTGTATTTAGGAAGTTCATGTCTGAGATTACCTTTGATAAAGGCCCCGAGGACAATAACTAAAGAGTCCGGGTTGGTCCGCTCCACACGCCGTATCTGGTCGACGAGTGTCCGCTGTGCCTCGTGCACATTGCCCACCGGCGGCATGTAAACACCGACCAGGATGAATGAAGCAAACTCACAGGGGCAATAAAAGGGTTTGCAGTTGCTGAAGAAAGATCAGGAGAACAGTGTTTTAGGGTCACCGTTACTTCGTTGCACCAGCTGTTGTTGCAGTAGAAGCAGATTCCTCCACCCTTCGTCTTGCCGGAGAGCTCCGTGTGCGGTCCGCTCGGAGCAGCTGGAAGCCCGCCAGCTGGAGCGCGCGGAGTCCGGTATCGATCCGCAAAGCCACGTCTCCGTGAAGCACAAAACGGAGGATGTAGAGAAGTCTCTGTCTCTCCTCACCAGCAGCTGAGTTTCGTCCAGTTTGTTGCACAGTGAGCGCACGTTGGAGAGAAAGATGCCCGGCAGCGGAGTTCGAGAACCACGCTTGCGGAGTCTCACCAGCGAGCCGGCCCGTTTTCCTCTCCTACGGCGTCTCACCGCGTGACGAAAGGTGAGCGCACCTTTGACTAGAATGTCCAGTAATTCCACGGAAGAAAGCAGGAAAGTTGGAAGTAACTCCGCTGGAGTTGTTCCACGGATGTTCAAGAGCTCATCTCTGGTGAAAGAGCTCCGGGAATCGCAGCAGCAAACGTAATTAACAACAAAAAACACAAAAAACGAAACGCACCGAAGCACCGTGGCGGCCATCAACAGCGCCATCTTCGAGGGAGGCAGAGTGGTATCAGCATTGTCATTATAATGTTCAATATCTATTAACAGAGCTGCCCATAAACGTTAACCATTTTAATCAAGCCAATGAAATGAATGATTGTATGGCTGCTCACCATCATGGAATTACATCGTACACGCTT